AGGGCTGGTAACGGCCCCACGAACATCGGCGGCGTTAGGTGGAGAACCTTCCACCTCAGCTGCCCTGGACCTTATATCTCCTCTCCTCATCTGGACACTTTTTCATCTTCATTCCATGGTTTCCAGGCCCGCTTTGGTTGCGATCATTCCATCATCTCCCTCCACCCTGGGCTCACATGCCCTTGGCCCGCTGTATGCCAGTGCCGAGCACTTGCTGATCTCACACTGAAGGGACTACCTCCCCCCGCTCCTGAAGAGGCGCCCCATTGGCGTTAGCATTGCAAGCAAACCAACACCCCCACAAGCCTTGTTCCTCCCACCTGAGATACAATTCACTAATTACTTGTCTCATTTTGAGTTGCTTTGTTATTATGATATTATGATGTTATTTCTTCACATGTATGAGACTATGACCATTCAGGCAAAAAAAACTCATTGTGGGGTATCTGTTCTCTTGAGGTATACGTTTTTTATCTTTTCATGCATATCTAATGCTTTTATTATATCATTATTTAATAAATGTATATATTTCTTATACTTCTATGAGATTGAAGTTTATTGGACTTGTTCTTTCTGGAGCCACCAAAAAACACCATCTTTCTCTATCCTTCTCCTCTTTTTGTTACAAATTTACCAGGGGTTGGTCTCCAGAAAGCAAGGATATGTGCATCACAAAACAAATTTTGCTTCTACAAGACCAAAATGTATCTTTTGGCTATTTCCAAAGATAATGAAAGCATTGTTGTTATCTATTGAGCTAATGTTGGTATCTATTGGTATCTGTTGTTGGTATCTATTGAGCTAATTATTGAGCTGGTAACGTTAAGGATCCTTCCTGTTATAGTCCCTCCCAGTATTAACATGCTAATGAATGGGATGGTGAGTAATAGCAAAGGTATATCACACTGTCCAATATTGGAAACATGCCTTTTGTTAGGTAAATTAAACCTATTAGTAAATCTAATATCGCCTCATGTGGGTGAGTTGTGGTGAACTGTATTTAAGGTGAGGCTGAGCTCATTCAGTTACTAGAGTTTCAGAATTGTCAGGAGAGGAAGGAGCTGCTGACATATCTTCATACTTCAGTATTCCAGGTATCTTATGTGCTGTATAATGGTGCAATTGAGTAGCTTATTCAAATGTTTTTGCTTACTATGACAAATTTCAGTTTGAATGTAATAGTCTTATTTTATTTCATTTATTAGCAATCTTGTACATACATTTTGTTCACCATTTCCAATTGAATTTGCTGAGATTAAATAAGTTTACTTATTTTATCTGCAAATTATTGGGTATTTATAGTAGGAATTTGTTTTTAATATGATTGAATAATTGAAGTTAAAGTTTACAATTTTTAAAAATGAAGTTTCTAAACTAAACCAACCGTATTTGTAAATCAACCTCATTAACTCACTTCAAACTTAACCTAAACTACCAGTCAGTCATTGAGTGGTTTTGCAGCAGTTGCTACAAAGTGTAACGATTCCTGCGAGCCCGGTGGCGAGTGTTGGATCTCAGCTGCGGAGGTAAGTGGAAATGGTTCAGGAGGGAGGTTCACGGTAACACTTTAATTCAGTGAGTGCAGAGACTAGCTTTTTAGAAAGTAAACCATGGCATTCTTTATGTATCTGGGGGCATAATGAGTCTGTGTATGGCCAGCCTTCATGTGACCGGTAAGGAGCTGTGCATATTTTATTCTAAAGAATTCAGTTAAAACAATATGGAATCATTGAGAAATACTGCAAAGTATCTGTTGACAGCTTCCATCATACTGAAATCATTTTGTCAATTGCTTTTGGCATCCACTGAGCAAGTTTCATGCATTAGATATTAAGATTCCTTCATGATATTTTCTGTCCTAGTATGAAAATGTTACTGACTAAGAAAGTAAGAAAAACAAAGTATAGTCACACTGTTCAATTAGGTTATTGCAGACATGACTTTTGCAATTAAGATTAAGCCTATTAGCGTATTACCCCTCCCCCCATGTATTCCCATGTTGGTGGGAGGTGTTAAATTGTTATTGCTTTTGCCTTCCTAACTGGAGCCTCTACTTCTCACGAACATTGCAGTTATTTGATTGACGCATTTCTAAAACTGATTAATGTGAAATTGTTTCTGAATATTGTATAATCTGAAAACGAGAAGCATCACTACAAGTGAATAAAATTGCTGTTGCATAAGAAATGGCATCTTAGCGGGGCATTCAGACAGTCCAGCATATTTCTTTGCTTGTTGTTTTTTCATAGAAGGGGATGTAGATACCAATATACATGTCATTTGTGACTGCTACAATGTAATGATAGATATTTAGCATTAAGTATCGGCCCATCGCACAGAGATTTTCCACTTTCTGTGATAACAAGTAATTGTGATGGTCAGAACTGTTAAATGATTTCTATTCTCTATTGATTTTAACTAACCTGGAAAAAGCATACAGCTTCTGACTTTCCTGATCAGTATACTCATTCCAGATAAGTGTCTGAGAAAATATTCAGCAAAATGGCCAGGCAACTTGATTTTCAGAAGATCTGTGATGGAGAATTCTGTGTTGTTTTCAGGAAAGGTTTACTCTCTAGGTTGCCATATTAAGCCCAACATTTATCCAAGCATTACATTGGACTATTGAACTGGGTATAACATTAGTCCAGCATTTGACTGGTTTTCAATAAAATTAAATATTTTATGTAAAGGTATTAGAGAAAATAATGGGTGATTAAAAAAAAAAAAAACACAAAGTTATCTGTTGACCATTTCCAATGATAATAAAGGCATTCTGTTTTCTGTTGATATCTATTGAGCCAATTTTTGAGCTGCCAAAGTTAAGGATCCTTTCTGACATAGTCCCTCCCGGTATTCAAATGATAATGACTTTGATGGTAAATAATAGCGAAGGATTATCACACTGTCCAATATTGGTAACAGGCCTTTTGTTAGGTTAATTAAACCATTTAGCAAATATAATATCACCTCATGTTGGTGAGTTGTGGTGAATTGTATTTAAGGTGTGGCTGAGCTCAGTCAGTTACTGGAATTACAGACTTATCACGAGAGGAAGGAGCTGCTGAGTTATCTCTATACTACACTATTCCAGGTATCTATACATTGTAAAATGGTGCAGTTGAGTAGTTTGCTTACTATGACAAATTTATTTCAGTTAGAACTTATTACAGACTTGTTTTATTTCATTTTTTAGCAATTTTGTACATATATTTTGTTCACCATTTCCAATTAAATTGCTTTAGATTAAATAATTTTATTTTATCTGTACATTATCAGGCTTTTAAAGGCAGTAGGATTTGCTTTTAATAAAGCTGGTTAACATTTTCACTTTAACAAATACAATGTTGTTAGGGGAAGATTCTAAACTGCTTCAAAACAAAAATGGGAATCGATCATAATGCAGTATGATTAGCTGGTACAATCCAACACTATGGTAATGTCCAATGAATCGTAAACCCTATGGGACTGCTACTGCACACTACTACTGCACTACTACAGCTCGTCTGATCGTAAATATTTGGCTACATCTTGGCCTCTCAAGATCAACTGTATAGTGATCTCCTCTGACTGTTGTTCTCATCGAATGAAATGTTACTTTGAAACTTCAAAAGCGCAACAGTTTCCATCCTGCCATCAAAGAGTAAATCTGTTGAAGCAATGCTTTCTTTTTCAGCTATAAAGAGGTCACTTCAGAGTTATATGAAGCATCCCTAAATTCCTCACCAATACCAGGATAGGGTTAACATATCTGGAATGTGTTTTCTGCTCTAGAGGAAAGTGGATATATACCTTGAGGCGGTCTTTGCCATCAATCCCTATTAATCTATACCAGTGGTCATTATATTCAATTAGAAAGGGTCATAGGTATGGTGTTGCGCCATTGTTTTTACTAAGTGTGATGTATTGACAACGTTGCCAATTTTAATATAAGGTTTCTGTCACAGTGTTTGCTGTGTCCATACTCTCTTAAATGTATAAATTATATTTTTCTAAACAATAAAGTAAGCCAATTGGCTGATTAATTATCCATTGTGGTTGGAGTATAACTTCTTTTTCCACCTCATTGCTCCACATAGAGGTGGTATTCTTACATATATGCTTATAGGTTATAAACCATATCGGTTGATGTGTCATTGCTACACATTATAGTGGTATCTTTTTTCTATATATGATTGTAGTTTACTTCACATAGGTATTCCCAGATCTCACAGCACAGTTTTTCGCCTGGCTTGTCTCCTCTCCTATTGCTGGACATTTTGTGACAGTTTTAACTTCAGGCCTGTGTGACCTGGATTTTTGGGTGGAAGTTTTTCTTAGTGAAATGCCAAGATCTAATACATATCAATATATCTTTATTAAAGTCGTTTTATCTGCATTATTCAGTGCACTCTGTTTCTTCTTTTTGGTGCTGCGGGCACTGAGGAAGTGGTTCAGTTAGCAAAACTTCAAAATGCAATATCTGATCTCAATCTGTTAATATTGATATTAAGTGATAACTTTTATTTTTCATACAGATATACTAATAAGCCCAATTAACCTTTCAACACCTACTGTGTTAAACATTTGCAGCTATACAGAACTTCGTTATCACAAGATGAATAAAGTTGGAGAGAAGCCAAATGAGTGTTCCAAGTGTCAGAAGAGTTTTCCTGATAAGTCAAAACTAAAGGTTCATCTTAGGATTCATACAGGAAAAAAACAATTTATATGTCCAGAATGTGGAGAGTGCTTCTCACAGAGTACACATCTTACTGAACACCACAAGACTCACACAGGAGAAAAACCATTTATATGTCCAGAATGCGGAAAGTGCTTCTCACGGAAGTTTACTCTTACTACACACCAGAGGATGCACACCGGAGAGAAACCATTTGAATGTTCAGAATGTGGAAAGTGTTTCTCACAAAGCTCTAAACTTAATATACACCAGATGACTCACACAGGAGAGAAACCATTTAAATGTTCAGAATGTGGAAAATGCTTCTCACATAGTACAAGTCTTACTCAACACCACAAGACTCACACAGGAGAGAAACCATTTAAATGTTCAGAATGTGGAAAGTGCTTCTTACATAGTACAAGTCTTACTCAACACCACAAGACTCACACAGGAGAGAAACCATTTAAATGTTCAGAATGTGCAAAGTGCTTCTCACAAAGTTCACATCTTACTCAACACCAGAGGACTCACACAGGAGAGAAACCATTTAAATGTTCAGAATGTGGAAAGTGTTTCTCACAAAGCTCTAAACTTAATATACACCGGATGAATCACACAGGAGCGAAACCATTTCAATGTTCAGAATGTGGAAAGTGCTTCTCACATAGTACAAGTCTTACTCAACACCACAAGACTCACACAGGAGATAAACCATTTAAATGTTCAGAATGTGGAAAGTGCTTCTCAAAAAATTCACATCTTACTCAACACCAGAGGACTCACACCGGAGAGAAACCATTTCAATGTTCAGAATGTGGCAAGTGCTTCTCACAGAGTTCTAATCGTATGCATCATCAGAGGATTCACACAGGAGAGAAACTACATAGAGAATGTGTCAAGGAGTTTTCATAGACATCAAATCTTAAGTAACATGAAGATACACACACTGGAGAAGCCGTATTCATCAATATGATCAATATTTACATGTAAATAAACTCAGATCTTGTTTTAAAAACATCACAGAGAAGATAAGCCATATACTTATTGTTGTATTGAAAGCTTTTCATTCTCAGGCATGCAAATAAAACAGTTTTAATATACCTTTAAACCATTTAAATGTTCAGAATGTGCAAAGTGCTTCTCACAAAGTTCACATCTTACTCAACACCAGAGGACTCACACAGGAGAGAAACCATTTAAATGTTCAGAATGTGGAAAGTGTTTCTCACAAAGCTCTAAACTTAATATACACCGGATGAATCACACAGGAGCGAAACCATTTCAATGTTCAGAATGTGGAAAGTGCTTCTCACATAGTACAAGTCTTACTCAACACCACAAGACTCACACAGGAGAGAAACCATTTAAATGTTCAGAATGTGGAAAGTGCTTCTCACATAGTACAAGTCTTACTCAACACCACAAGACTCACACAGGAGATAAACCATTTAAATGTTCAGAATGTGGAAAGTGCTTCTCAAAAAATTCACATCTTACTCAACACCAGAGGACTCACACCGGAGAGAAACCATTTCAATGTTCAGAATGTGGCAAGTGCTTCTCACAGAGTTCTAATCGTATGCATCATCAGAGGATTCACACAGGAGAGAAACTACATAGAGAATGTGTCAAGGAGTTTTCATAGACATCAAATCTTAAGTAACATGAAGATACACACACTGGAGAAGCCGTATTCATCAATATGATCAATATTTACATGTAAATAAACTCAGATCTTGTTTTAAAAACATCACAGAGAAGATAAGCCATATACTTATTGTTGTATTGAAAGCTTTTCATTCTCAGGCATGCAAATAAAACAGTTTTAATATACCTTTTTCATTTATCTTATAGAATTGATTAGTATTGCAGCCACAAACATTTTTATTTGCCACACACATTTTTAGAAGATGGCTGCATTGCAAATATGTAAAATAAGTTTGAACACTTGATCAAACTTTTCAGAAATACCCAAATGATTGCAAAATAAACTGTAACTATGCTAATTATTCATGGATTGATTTTTATCAGTTTAACCTTAAATCATGTTTTTAAGCTTGGTGTAAAAGTCTGAATTCTGTTCTATAGCTTATCTAGGAGAGAAGGTTTAGGTTTTAAATTGTTAGTGACAACAGTGATATTTTAGACACAGGAGGAACTGCTATGGTCTTATATTTCTTGGATACTCTGGGAGTGTTCTGTCTTTCCTGACCTATGTGTATTCCAACATTTCTTGTATTCTCCATTATATAAAATAAAAACAATAATATGGACAATTGAAATTCTATATAATATGACAAGCAATCGTGCAAGCACAGAACAATATGCAGATATCTGTCCAACAAAGTCCCTGAGATAGAAGAAACATTACCCTTCAGAATTAAATAAAGGTTTTTTTTTTAGATATTTATCCCTATTTACCACATAATGTCAATTTGTACTATTGTTTAATGTTTTAAATGTTTCATGTGTGCATTGAAATAATAAAGCCTAAGCCTGCTGGCATCATCAGGTCTATAACAGTTCTATTTACTTGCATTAGATGAGGGTACGGCGAGGTTAACTCCGCAATTGGAGCCAGAGAGAGGTGAGCGCTCACCGCCACAGGACTGAAGAACAGATGAGTGTATCTTTATTCTGCTCCCTAAGGCAAAACAATGGGCAGCCCCAATGCAACGGTTCACTTTTTTAATTCTTAGAGATCTGTTTTAACCCTTTCACTGCCAAGTCACCCCCGGAACATTTTGCACCTCAGCTGGTCATACCATTTTTGCAATTTTTCCTATTGATTTAATTTTCTACTGCTGCATTGCTAGCATTTGTAAAAAAAACAACCAAACCATATATTGTCTGAAAGCACAAGCCCGGTAGAATACAAAGATTATGCTACTAAATTTGTAGGCCCTGCGATACTTGCGCAAATGTTTCTCAAATTAGTATTAAAACGATAAAAATACACAATTCAATTGATTGATAGAGCACTAGAATCAGTATCAGTACACAAAAAAATTCTGATAAAATCTAAAAGATAAAACTGTATAGAGATAATAAATAACAAATATTTTGACATTGTAAATTGCGCCTTTTTGCGAAAAGGCAAAAAATTAATAAACCCAAAACTGTAAATCAGCGACTTATGTTGTGTAAGAAAAAATGTGGGGCTTTAATGGTGCCAAAAGACAACTCAAGACAATTCTGGATAAAAAATTATTTTTATTTTAGATATGTATAAAAATTTTTTAAAATAAATGATGATCACCAAATAGATAACTCCCAAGAGTCTCACTCCACTTGAGTAGCTACATCAACCTATATAATTGATTTTGCAACAACACATAGGCAAGGTACATGATAAGGATGAAAACATGATTCATAGGTCTGATTTAGAATGGAGGGGTCGCTTTCAAGCCGACTCATCTCAATTCCAATCTAGCCAAAGAGCTGATACATAATAATAACATAGGACAGAACATAATCAAGAAAATCAAATCAATTAATAAAGATCAGTTCACAGTGGAGGAGTCACTGGTTGCTCGCTCAACGTTTCACGCTGAAATAAAGCGCTTCTTCAGGAGCTAGAGAGTATCTGTATAATTGGAGACATCAATAAATATAATATGCAAAAGACTCAATTACATGATAAATGCATAGCTAGGTAGGGACTGCTTAGAAAGTGAGCAGGTGTGTGTCAAAGCGGACCGATCCAGGCAGAACCCACAATCAGGGGACAAAGGGGCGAAGCCCGTCACCCTGCTGTCACGGTCTAGGGACCGGGGCACTAGGGTACGTGAGCTCCGGTGTTTGCGGAGTTGGTAGGAGTCACAAATAGGCGGGATATCAGGGATGTTGGTCACAGGGAGAGAGGAACTAATAGTCTGTGCGGTCTCAGGACGCACTAGAGGTCCAGAATCTAAGAAGGGCCAGGTATTCGACAGAGCCTCTAGTGGTGAGGATGATTGGCTGCTGGACACCTTCCAGGTTGCGGCCCTCTAGCGCACCCACACAGACGCAAAGGACTAGTTGAAGCAGCGGGGAACTGGATACAAACAGGTAGGGAAGAAACTTGTAACCAAGAGGAGGAAGATAGGAACAGTGGCACACAAGGAGAGAGAAAGTCTCAAGCAAAAGTGCAAAACGCACAGCAGAACAGCAGAGTATACTGAAGAGGGTAGATAAGCAAGGACACCCGGGAAGGGTAAGTAGCTTAGAGGCACACCTAGGAGCAGGAAGGTTTAACGTACAAAAGTAAGCAAGAGATGTGCGTTGCACATGCATGCAAAGAAGCAGGAGAACAGAGGGAAAAGTACATAAAGAAGCACAAAGGGATGTATGCACACAGACGGTGTGCAGACAAGGACAAATCCAACACAGCCCCAAGGTAAGAGAGGTGCACAGAAGTAAAGGGGTGACAGTGAAGCATAGGAGGATACACTGGAAGGTAAGTGATGGAGTTGAAGTACAGCAAAGCAGTAAATAGGAGGAAGCAAACAGACAATGACTGGAGAGGGAAAACACAGAAGAAGTGAGGCAATGAAGGCAGTATAGAGAGACTCACCGCACACAGGTGAAAGCAATTAAGGTCTGCAGCAATATACTAAAGGTAACCACTCAAATACTATAGTAGGGGCGCAAAGAGCAAAGCAGGGGATAAAGGTGAGGATGATTGGCTGCTGGACACCTTCCAGGTTGCGGCCCTCTAGCGCACCCACACAGACGCAAAGGACTAGTTGAAGCAGCGGGGAACTGGATACAAACAGGTAGGGAAGAAACTTGTAACCAAGAGGAGGAAGATAGGAACAGTGGCACACAAGGAGAGAGAAAGTCTCAAGCAAAAGTGCAAAACGCACAGCAGAACAGCAGAGTATACTGAAGAGGGTAGATAAGCAAGGACACCCGGGAAGGGTAAGTAGCTTAGAGGCACACCTAGGAGCAGGAAGGTTTAACGTACAAAAGTAAGCAAGAGATGTGCGTTGCACATGCATGCAAAGAAGCAGGAGAACAGAGGGAAAAGTACATAAAGAAGCACAAAGGGATGTATGCACACAGACGGTGTGCAGACAAGGACAAATCCAACACAGCCCCAAGGTAAGAGAGGTGCACAGAAGTAAAGGGGTGACAGTGAAGCATAGGAGGATACACTGGAAGGTAAGTGATGGAGTTGAAGTACAGCAAAGCAGTAAATAGGAGGAAGCAAACAGACAATGACTGGAGAGGGAAAACACAGAAGAAGTGAGGCAATGAAGGCAGTATAGAGAGACTCACCGCACACAGGTGAAAGCAATTAAGGTCTGCAGCAATATACTAAAGGTAACCACTCAAATACTATAGTAGGGGCGCAAAGAGCAAAGCAGGGGATAACGCCAAAAAGGGATACTAGCTGGTACAGGGAAGCCAAAGGCACAAGGATCCAATAATAAGCGCAGGTAATAAGATCCCAGGGATAGTTAGAGCCACAAGGGGTATGGAACAAGGCATAGGACTTGTTGCTCACACAAAGAGCAACAAGTGAGGAAGCCCTAAATAGGGGAGGAGGAGAGCAGATTGGCTGCAGCCTTGTATGACACCATAGCCTGACAGCCCAGAACCAGGGAGCAAAGCGAAAATCCGGCACGGATTTCTGGATATTGTGACACCTGCATGCAGACAGCAGGAGGTATGAGTCAGAGATTCAATAATGAGCCTTAAATAAAAAACAGAGTAACATTTACTCACAAGGGAAATTCCCTATACAATCCACACAGGTTGTATATAGAGGAAAAGACACTTAACCCATTGATAATAATGATATAAGGACAAGTATATTTAATGTTAGTCAAGCAAGTAGGCAATAAGATAGAAAGCGGGGCAAAAAAACCACAAGCCACTTACCCAACCTATTCCTCAGTTACAGCCCAACAAGGATCACTGGAGAGGGTCACAGCACTCCACACCCCCAGAGCCAAGCCGCCCCCAAGCCGCACAATGACGCTAATGGCCCGTGCTGGCTCTATAAAAGTATCCGGTGCGATCATAATGTCATCGCGCAAAACTGAAGGGTTCCGCCCCCTGCTAGATGTTCTGACACAGGCAACATCCATAGCCAAAAGCCACAATAACCCCTGTCATAACAAGACAGAATTGCAGCCGCCCACAACTCAAGGGTTCTGTCCCTTGCTGGTATCTAACATAGGTAGCAACCATATCAAGATGAACTCTGTCAAGAATATCGGCCGCCCGACACGAAGAGTCTGTAGCCAAGAACACACACGCCCCACAGGGGACAGCCGAATAGAAAGGAGAAGGGCATACATGGCTAGGGGCTGGAAAAAGCGAGCACAACAAGGGGGAGAATGATCGAGAAACCATTCAAAACGGATACCGGCCGCCTCTCAGAAGAGCCCCACACTGTACCCCCGCAAGGCAGGATGCCTCTATCCCCGTCGCCCCCCCAGAAAGGGGTCCAAAAATTGACCCAGACAAGTCCGCCTCAGGCACACCTGCCCATCCATAATTCCACATAAAAAAAAAACATAGGGAGTCTTCCTCAAACGGGGAAAGATGTCCCACAGTACAGTATTATTGATGTGTAAAAATATGATTAATGTAAGCAAACAAATAACAATACAATCAATATAGACATAATTCCTTGGAAAAATTTCATATGTATACAATAGTCATGTAGTTTATTATATTGCTTTAAAATCTAACAAAACATGACACATTAGTCCATCTCAGAAATGCGTTTCCCTCACCTTTTAGTGTTACAGTGTTTCTTTGCAGAAAAGTTTTTTCTTCCCTCCCTCCTATTCTTAGACAAGATCCATGAGTCAGGAGAGTGGTCCGCTCCTGATCTAATATCCTGTACTTGACGCTCCAACAGAGTCC